TGGTGCCGCACAGCCTGAGCTTAAACCAGAGTTTCTGGCGGACCTTGTTCGAACCTGTGGATCGGGACAGCTTCCACTTTTAGTTGGAGGTGATTTCAATATCATTAGGAGGAGAGAGGAGAAGAATAATGGTAACTTTGACGGCAGATGGTCGTTTATGTTCAATACCATTATTGAAAGCTTGGATCTGAGGGAGATAGAGCTTTCTGGTAGGAAGTTTACCTGGGCCAATGCTCTGCCAAACCCAACTTATGAAAAACTTGATCGAGTTCTCGCAAGCATGGAGTGGGAACAAAAGTTCCCTCTGGTTACGGTGCAAGCTCTCTCGAGGGGAATATCCGATCGCACGCCCTTGTTCGTGGATTCTGGGGAGCCGAACCACGTGGGTAACAAAAACACCTTCTCTTTCGAGATGTCTTGGTTCGAACAAGAGGTTCTTTTTGACCTGATTGCCAGGGAATGGGATAGAGGTGCAAGAGGTAAGACTGCGATCGAGCGTTGGCAGAATAAGATTAGGCACTTGAGAAGCTTTTTATGGGGCTGGGCTAAGCACCTCAGTGGTGTCTATAAGATTGAAAAGGATAGACTCCTTTCTCTTATACAGGCCCTAGACATCAAGGCCGAATCTTCGATCTTGTTGCCAGCTGAGCTTCAGGTTAAAACTGAGGCGGAGACGAGGTTGAAAGAACTGCTCCGCGAAGAAGAATTGAAGTGGGCTTTGCGTGCTAAAGTCCGCAAAGTGATCCAAGGGGACGCGAACACTCAATTCTTTCATCTAATAGCTAATGGCAAGCACCGAAAGAAACGTATTTTTCAACTTGAACAAGATGAGGGCACGATTTTAGGTCAGGATAACCTAAAAACATATATTACCGAGTATTACAAGCAGTTATTTGGACCACCGGAGGATAATTGTGTGTCCCTCGAATATCGGCTGCTGAAAATGATATTCTGGTTGCACCGTTCTCTGAGAAGGAGGTGTTTGATGCTATTGCACAGATGAAAAACAATAAGGCTCCCGGACCGGATGGATTCCCGGTCGAGTTCTATAAAAAGTGCTGGCATATTATTAAGGGGGATTTGCTACCTATGTTCAATGATCTGTTCTCGGGACAGCTTCACTTATTCCACTTGAATTTTGGAACTATCACATTGCTTCCTAAGAAAACGGATGCTGTGAGGATTGAGCAATTCAGACCGATATGCCTCCTCAATGTTAGTTTCAAAATCTTCACCAAAGTCGGGACTAATCGGCTCACACAGATTGCGCATTCTGTGGTGCAACAGTTCCAAACTTCTTTTATGCCGGACAGAAATATCCTTGAAGGGGTGGTAGTCTGCATGAAACACTCCATGAAATCCATTCCAAAAAATTAGATGGAGTAATTTTTGAAGTGGATTTCGAGAAAGCGTACGATAAGATCAAATGGCCATTTCTCCAACAGTCATTGCGTATGAAAGGTTTTGATGAAGCCTGGCGCAGGCAGGTTGAATCATTTACGCAAAAAGGTAGTGTGGGAATTAAAGTGAATGACGATATAGGACATTATTTCCAGACACATAAAGGCCTTCGACAAGGAGATTCGATGTCACCTATCCTGTTTAACATTGTGGTGGATATGTTAGCAATTCTGATAGGAAGGGCAAAGGAAAATGGTCAAGTAGATGGATTGGTACCTCATCTTGTTGATGGAGGTGTGTCCATACTTCAGTACGCTGATGATACAATCATCTTTATGGAGCATGACTTGGCCAAAGCGAGAAACATGAAGCTGGTGTTATGCCTATTTGAACAATTGACCGGATTAAAGATTAACTTTAATAAGAGCGAGCTGTTCTGTTTTGGTAGAGCCAAAGACGAACAGGAGGCGTATAGGCAATTGTTCGGGTGTGAGTTGGGAGAATTACCTTTTTCTTACCTAGGTATTCCAATCCACCATCGTAGGTTAACGAACCGAGAATGGAAGTGCATCGAGGACAGATTTGAGAAGAAAATGAGTTACTGGAAGGGTAAACTCATGTCACACGGAGGCCGATTAATCCTGATTAATTCGGTGCTCACGAGTATGCCTATGTTTCTCCTATCGTTCTTTGAGGTCCCAGTTGGTGTTCGGAAGAGACTGGACTTCTATCGATCGCGGTTCTTTTGGCAGAGTGATGAGCTTAAAAGAAAATACCGACTTGCTAAATGGGATATCATCTGTAGACCGAAAGACCAAGGACGTCTTGGTATCGAGAACCTCGAAGTTAAGAATAGATGCCTTCTTAGCAAATGGCTGTGGAAGCTCTCTTCGGAGAATGATGCCATGTGGGCTCAAATCCTACGCAGCAAGTACCTTCAGACAAAAACTTTGTCCCAGGTTACAGTCAGGCCGACTGATTCACCTTCCTGGAAAGGACTGATGAAAGTCAAACAATCCATGTTCAATAGGATGAAGTTTGTTATTGGCAACGGCACCAGCACGCGTTTTTGGGAGGATACTTGGCTCGGCGAGACACCCTTGGCCGTCCAATATCCGTCTTTATATCGTATTGTTCAATGACGTGAGGTGTTCATAGCTTCGGTATTTCAATCTATCCCCCTTAATATTCAGTTTCGACGGACGTTGGTGGGCAATCGTTGGGAGGAGTGGCTCCGTCTAGTTAGGAGACTGATGGAGGTCCAACTTTCCCAACAACCCGATGAATTACGCTGGAAGTTGACTAAGTCTGGAGTATTCACAGTTAAATCAATGTAATTGATGTTATTAATTCGAACTCCATTCCTACATCAAAGCATGTTTGGGATGTCAAAGTACCTTTGAAAATAAAAGTGTTTATGTGCTTTGTCCATAAACAAGTTATTTTAACCAAGGACAATTTGAAAAGGCGTAATTGGACAGGGCCTACTAGGTGTAGTTTCTGTGATCGGGATGAGACTATAAAAGACCTCTTTTTTTATTGCCCGTTGGCCAAAGTCCTTTGGCAGACGGTTCACATTGCTTTCAATATCAAACCACCGAATTCTGTTAACGCGTTATTTGGGACATGGCTGAATGGGATTCCGCCTGACTTAGCGAAACACATTCGGGTTGGGGTTTGCTCTTTGCTGTGGACTATCCGGACTTGCAGAAATGATTTGGTCTTTAACAGAATATCATGTATTCATTTTTTGCAGGTTATATTTCGCACTACGGCTCTGATCCGTTCGTGGTCGCTACTCACTCAGACGAAGGCCAGGGAGCATTTGGTTACTGGATCTTTTCGCTGGGAGATGGTAGCTCGGGATATCTTCAACCGGTTTGGATGGCGATCATGTAATAGGATAGGCATCTAGTTTATCTATCTACTTATAGCCAGCCGGTTGTGGCATCTTGTCTTGGCTAGTCGATGTTTCTAGCCTTTATGGCTCTGTGTGAGCTTTCTTTGTTTTTATTTTTGTTTGGAGACCTTGGAACCATGTTGACACTGTTTTTGTGGTTAATAAGATGGCCGTATGCATCATTCTGATGCAGAGGCCGAGGAGTCCCCTTTTCGAAAAAAAAACAAGCTTCAAGCAAGGGATCATGCATCACTTATTAACTGAAACTTCCTTAGTGACTGCCATCTTTTTTACTCTTCAATCTTTACATCAAGCAATAATTTCACCACTAGTCTAAAGATATAATATGCTACTCCCTCTGATCCATAATAAGTGTCGCGGCTTTGAACTAAGGTTGAACTAACCTTAGTTCAAAACTGCGACCCTTATTTTGGATTGAAGGGAACAGTAAAAGTAAAAGATGCTAATAGCAACGAAAGCAGTTTATGCCTGAATTTAGTCTTGTCATTTTGATCCATGTTTGATACTAAGTATTAACAATCCATGGTGGCCAAACCGAGTCACTGCTGAGAGTGATTCTCTGGAGGTGGTAACATGCAGAGCTGGTGATCCAGGGCGCTTGTCTCAAAAAAAAAAATGATCCAGGGCGCTATGAAAGAAAGGTAATATGCCAGGAAATCAACGAGCTGGGTAGAGGGTTTACTAGCCTTGAGAGAGGCAAATGAGGTAGATCACCATTGTGCTAGCAGGCTAGTTAGGTCAGGAGAAAATGTCTTTGGATCGATTAATATCCTCACAAAAGAAAAAAAGATGGCATGACCTCTCAAAGAAAAGAAGATATGTACCTATAATCGTCAGTGTTCACTTGCGCACCCTTTAAATTTCCTTGTCCCGAGGCACACGAAGAATCAAAACCATCATGCTAATTATCTGAGCTGTGCTTCAATTCCATTGTATTCTTTTTTGCCCATGCTATTTATCTGCAGCACATCCAAGCTAAGATTGCCCTGTCATTGGTTTACCAGGAATTAATAGTTCTTCAGAACAACAACCAAGCAGCAATTCATCTTCTCTCTTTTGCGAGGAACAATTCCATTCTTCAGAACAAACTCGTAAAAATATTTCAAACGTTAGCCAACTCATAAATCCTTCACCTCACCAACTCACGAAATGCACGACCATCAAGCAAGCAAGCACGTACTACTATTTGACTGAAGCAAGTCACTGTGCCTTTATCATGCCAGTTGGCTTATTGTGTCCAGAAATCACATAACAGAGCAAGTTAGCAAGTCATCTGCTTCTGTCAGCTGTAAAATGTGTTCTGCTTCATCACACCACTCATGCAGAAGTTTTTTTTCCGGAACGGATGCAGAAGTTTGTGAATCTCAAAGCAAAGGTGCCTATCAGTGCAAAGAGACATCAAAAAAGTTCGCCAACTTACCCAAGCCTTCCCACCATCGCAAAGGAAGCAGTAGGCAGTTGCATTCCAGCATACATGAGCATCTTCCATCTCCAGGTCACACTGATGGGATTCATCATTCATTAGTCACAACTAACCAAAGTAAGCTTACCAAGCTCAAAACCAGGTACAGATTCAAGCAAACACACGCACAAAGTACAACATCGAAATCCCGCGATGCTGATACAACACAGAAGGTAATAAAACACATGCACAAACTAAAATGCAAGCAAGTTCACTTCAGAGCTGAACACTGTATGCTGCTAGATAGAGGTTCAGTTTTCCATGTCGAGCATGCAGACGGAAGGAACTATACTCGACAGACCATTTCTGCATCTCAGCCACCAGAATGTAAATGTAGATACCTGCAGAGAAAGTAATATCATCAGTAAAAAACTTGTACTACATACAGGAAAAGTTATTGGGAGTTATTCTCATAACTCTTCTATGACTCAAACCATCACAATTGTGGGTGTCATAAGCTCCAGAGTTAAACCATCACAGCATCATTAGACAAAATCAACACATGAAACAGAGAACAATAGGCAATATGTAGTGTAGTAGCACACCTTCAACTTCTAATATTGTAAGTTTGTGGGAGGCTCATGGAGTAGGATAGCAGGTTTCTAACTCTTGGGCATACTTTTTAGGAATGCAAGGGCTGGCTAGTCACTGACAAATCGATTTTCATCAAATTTTTGCAGTACAAGCCTGTAACAAGGGATCATGCATCATCTTACTATACCTGAGACTTCCTTCAGTCCAACATGATTGTTATTTTTTACTCTCTACGCCATAAAGCAATACATTCAGAGTCATGCTATGCACACGGCAAATTTTGAACGATTCACACACAAAGATTGAATCCAGCCGGACATGCATATGAGTGAGAAGGGCACTAGCCACTGGATTTGCACGTCGTGCACAGCTCGGGCAGAAGTATCGTGTGTGGAGCAGTTTCGATACATTCACCACTACTTTAATAATAATATGTTAGTAAAATTAAAAAAACCGGCATTAGTGATAGAATCAATTTTTATGGTGATTCTAGTCCTGCCAAAATTGAAGTATTAAACATCAATAGTGGCCAAAATTGAAGAAATTATACACCACACAAAGCATACTACCAATAGTTTGGACCAGCCAAATTGTATTAGTGGCCAATGGCCAATTACAGGTTTGCTGGATAACTAGTCGCATGCTGAGAAAATGTTTAACCAAACAGGCTAAAACTAGAATAATCATCCATAAAACCACAGTGACTGCAGTTAAGAAGATAGACAGTAGTATAAGTTTAACGAAGGCGTACTCTTAAAGTATTGTGACAATCATTAGTTCACTACTAGGTATCACAATGATCCAAAATAAGCAGCAAAGTGAAATGGCACACCTATAAGTCCGCGTAAAAAAAGGAATTTTAAACCAGATGCATTGGCAGTTATCAATCACTTATGAAGACAGGACAACATTCAGATCACACTAGGGCATGATAGACCCATGAACAGAAAAAACAGAAGTTAAAGGCAATTCAGCAAGAGCAAAGGCAAAATAAAAATATATCCCGGAAGCACAACAAAGGATTAGTAGTTCATTTACTACCACCTAGCATGAAAGCATTCTCATCTGGCTAAGAAAAAAAGAGCATTTTCATCTCTGAGCAGGCATCGATATTTGCACAAATAGGGAATGAGGAATGGTCCTAAGCCGCCAATCAATGGAGGGGCTAGAGGGAGAAGAGCCCACCCACTACCAGCAAGAACTTAGGGAGTACACTGTAGGAGGTAAAGCGTACGCAAGGAGGCTGAATGGAAGTGGGGGCAAACAAAAGAGCGCATTCAGTAGAGAGGGGGTAGAAGATCAGCAATTTAAAGGCACGGGGAACAGAATGGAGAGCTGCTGAGGAAGGAACGAGATAGCAGGGCCTGGAGAAAAGATTCAGAATTTAGCCTGGCATCAAAGCATGATATGAGGCGGCTAGGTGGGTAATAAAAGACCAGCAGAGCAGAGAGCGTAGAGAAAATCTTAAGAGTCCTTGCTTGCAATTTGGTACTTGAGAAATTACACTACAGTAAAAAGGGAAGCAATGCATCTTTTTAAGATTAGCTCAGGTACCTAGACATACATGGAAAAGATAAGCTTACCTACTCAACCAGTACATCGCATAGCATATCTAACCGGAAAATCATCTTATGTGCTGTGCAAGAGATCAGCTCCATCATGTCCACCACCAATGCTTGTTTCTGCAAGCATAAGAAGTCAAGCAACCAATGACATTCCAATGAAAAGCCAAATGGATATGAGGAGGCATCAACAAGATACCATTTAGATAACCAACAGCTGAGTTACAAAAATAAATAAATTTATACAACATTAGGGATACACAAACAAAACCATATCTACTGTCAGAGTTGGTCAATAATCTCATCTTATCTTGAGAAATAAACTGCAGCTACCTCATACAATTCATGTGACGAGGCACGAACTAGCATGGCGCTAATGCTGGTTTCAGAACAACACAATGTCGGCAATTGTCACAAGTGAACAACCTGACTTGATTAGTAGCTAAGGCATGTACAGCTGCATTATTCCGCATACATCAATACACAGGCAACAATGAAATTTAGTTCAACTATCACAGAAAGAATTTGCCAATCTTGGTATCCATTTTTTTTTCCTCGAACATGCACCCAAATGTGTGACGTTGTGCATCAGAAGAAACAGCCAGATGACCCAAAAGTTCAAGAGGCTGAAACTCAATAAAGCAGAAACGAAACACAAAAGGAAAAAAAATAAAAAGGCAGCTCGGTGCACGTAGCTCCCGCTTGCACAGGGTCCGGGGAAGGGCACAAAAGGGAAAAATAAAACAAAGAGAAAACTAAAGCATAACTGGGGCTGCGCCAGCGAATTAATCCAGCGTCCGGCCATGCTGGGGCAGCCATCTCAGAGCTTTGTCTCTATCCATTGCTTCATTGTATGGGTATTTCATATAATAAAGTAATAAAGACAATTTGCTAGGTCTGACTCGAACCACACAAATTACAGAAATGAAGCTTAGCAGTAGATCAGTGAATTCACCACCTGGCTACATAACATAAAGAAAATTAGATACCACTAACAGATACTCCCTCCGGATTTGAAAGAAAAGCATGAGATCTTGAGCGAGAATAAGGAGGGAAACCGCAAGTTATTTCTTTCCATGTTTACCCCTGAGCGCAGAGATTAAGAAGGAAAAAGTGGGCTTCCGCTTTACACCCCTCCGTTTCTCACACACGGATTACGTGGCACATGTGCAGGAGGAAGACAAAGGGGCTGAGTTTGTATGGGAGGGGATTTAACGCAAGCCGGTTTTTCAGTATGGGGAATGGGATAAGCAGGGTTAGTTTTGTCCATCCAGCGCTAATAACCTTTCCGATGCCCCTCTTTCGCGCAAAACGGTTGGTGTTTTTTCCACACCTTCCTTTCAAATAAGGAGGGAGTACTACTTTACAGATCATAATTATAACATAAAACACTACCATACAAGCATAAGAAAAGAACTCCTCATAGCTTCATCGCAACATGTTCAAGATGTCATCAAGCATCAAAAAAGAAGTGTCATGGGACTACTTAAAATTGTTAACTCAATATGGAAGTTTATAAACAGTACGTATTTTCATCAACCAATTATCGAAAACTAACTTTCTTTTGTTATACACAGGTTGTAAAGCAAGCTATTACCTGCAGTATAGACACTTTCGAATGGGTGATAGAAAGAGATTCTGGTTTCCACGAGCTTCTTGAGCTGCAACGACTCAAGCTGGAACATGAAGAGACTGCCTTCTGTCCACATGAGAGCCACATTATTCTCCTCAGCAAATCCTACTATCATTGGAGACTCTCTCTCCTTTGAATCCAGCGGAAATAGCTTGTCTGTTTCAATTGTTCTTCCCAACACCCACGAAGCAAAACAGTCACAAATGACCTTCGTCTTCCACAACTGAACACTGAACTTTGATACAAATAGGAAACCAAGCCCTCCATCATCTGCCCGCATAACCGAGAAGTTGACATGACTGTCATACAAGTCCACCGGTGGAGGTATCACGGCTAGGCTGTCCCTATCCAAATCAAATTGGAGGATGTTGTACGAACTATCCCAAAGCCACCAGTAAAGGGAATCCCCAACCAGCACAGCAGGTATGCTCGAATAAATCATGGTCGGACATTCAACCGGTGGCAAGTCTTCTGCTTTCAATTGGAAGCGGGATTCGCATGCCGGTGGAAGCGGTGTTGAGATTATATCACTCCATGTATTGGTCTCCGACAAATAAGCGCTGCCGATGGCTCTTGTATGGTCTTGTTTCTCGGTGATGCTTACCAAGGCCACCAGGAATTGGTGGTCGTCTACGGCAGAGCGAAGCACCGCCCCGCCGATCGGGCTGTCCGAGTCGCACTCGAATCCCGGGGGAACGGCAATCCAGTGCTTGTCGCCGGTGACAGGGTCCCAGACCAGCAACTGGTTCGTGGGTCTGTTCAAGATTAGCACCAGGCCATGACGGCTTCCAAGGGACCGGAACCAGTCGTCGTCGCCGCGCTGCAGGGAGAAGCGCCCCGGCGGGAAACGATCCGGGGCGGCGAGGGTAGGCACGAAGGAGCGGCAGCCGTCCATGTCGAAGAAACCGAGGAGCGGAGGGTTGGGGCGGTGGTGGCGGCGGAAGCGGCGGGAGAAGCCGGGGTCGGAGGCGATGCGGCGCCAGCGATTGGAGACGAGCGAGGCGCGAGGGAGGGAGGACGGCTGCGGGGGGAGGCGGAGGAGGATCTCGGAGAGGAGGTTCTCGTCCTCCAGCGGCGGTGCCGCCGTCGGCGAACGGTGGCGGCGGCTCATCTCGCCCTACTCACTGTTTTTTTTTCTAGATCTGCCCTACTTGCTCACTGGTGCGGTGGAGTGGATCTGATTTTTTTTTTATTTTATTTTTTTTGAGGAAGTGGAGTGGATCTGATGAACTGAAATGAAGTGCGCCCCGTGAAAGTGACGGAAGAGATGCTGCTGGGCTGGACAATGGGCCACGGTATACAATGCAACGTGCATCCTTTTTTTCTTTCGATTGAAGAAATTCCAGCCCCCCAAAAAATGAAGATTGAAGAAATTCCAAAGGAAACCCTGTGTATAGAAAAAAATAATGTAAAAATCATACTGTAAAATTCTACTAATAAATAATATACTGACTTGTGAGCTACCAATAGGATTTTTTCGTGTGGATCCATAATAGCAAATAGTAGGTCCAATTTTTGTCCACATATTTGTTCTTTGTATAGCCCAAAATAAACTTAACGATAAACTCCGGGGGTGAATCAAACCAAACCGAAGGCTGGTTTTTCACGTCCCCTGCTAGCTAGCACATATGCTACTACATTAGATTCCCTATTACAAAACACAACACAAGCCTTTTCGAACTCACTTAAATCTTGATGACGGTCTTCTAGAATAGGGGCTGCAACCATAGAGTATCCTTCGTCTTGATTAAGAGCATGAATTGCTGGCCCCGTACGTATGTACTGGTGCTAGGACATCCTCACCTTCTTAATGTAAGAAAAAAAGGCTCATGTTTATGTAAAAAACAGAACTCTATCTATGACATTTTTGTGGGCCACCGAAGCCTCTGAAATAATAAGATTGTATAAATGCCTCCTAAACCGGTTTTGAATGATGATTTTGCTGACATAGCACGTACATGAGGTGGTCCATGGGCCAAAGGGGTCCTCCAAAACTTGTTTGGAGAAAAACAAGCAAGCTATAGTCTTATTTATTTATTTGTTAACTAGTCATCAAGTCAACAACTTACGTGTCACAAGAGGAGAAAAGATGCTCCAAAACATGGGTACTTACCTGTTTTGTTACTCTTTTAACTAGCCATAAAATAGATTCAGAGTAGAGCATCACTAACATAATTGTCAAGGGAAGTATATATGCTTTTTCCCTATGGCCTTGTTCGGTTGACAGAGAATTGAAGGGGGTTGACAGGGATTGAGGGGGAATAAATCCTCTAAGAGTGAGAATCCCCTCAAATGCTCTCCAATCACTTTGGGGAGGGGTGCAACTGAAGAAGGCCTAAACAACATTAGGGGGTGGGTGATCATCCTCTACCCAACGGCCCGTCAGACGTGTGGGAGTGCGCCACAGGCGACCCTTGTTTCCTTGGTTTCTTTGGCACCGTCACAAGTGGTGTTTTTAGTTTATCAGTCCCCAAAAATCTTCAATGATGTTTTGTTTGGTTTTTTCCTCAGGGTCACTTTTTTTTGCGGGGCTCTGATCGTGGCCATGGCACGCCGCGGGGAATCATTTGCGTCTGGAGTCTAGGGTAAAGGAAAGGTTGAGGACCTCATGAAGGAACTCACCCTACAGGAGGAGGATCTAGACGATGTGATTTTGAGGAAAAGGATGCACCGGTGGATTAGGATCTCCGGTGGATGATTTTGGTCCGTGTTCATATGGACAAGGGATTTAGTACCTATTGGTTCTTCCGCAATATGCGATCTGCTTGGGATCTAGCCAGAAAGGTCAAGATCAAAATTCTGGAAGCCTATTTGTGATGCAGTTTAATTGTTTGGGTGATTGGGAGAGGGTCACCCAGGGTGGTCCTTGGCACTTTAGGGGGAATCCGGTGATCATCTCACCGTATAATGGATATACCAAGCCGACAACCATTGAGCTCTTCACTTTTGAGATCTGGGCGCATATCATTGAGAATGATCTCCCAATTGCGTATCATGGGATGGTTAAGGCTTTGGCCTCCAAGATTGGCGAGTTCATCGACTCAGAGCGGTCTTCCTTTGATTTTGAAGGAAATCTCTACTTTTAATGGAGCAGTTGGTAGTCTCGCTTTCAGGTTTTTTTTCGTCCCACCACTTTTGTTTGGTTTTTTTTCGTAGGTTAACCATCGTAGATTTTTTTCGATGTTGGTTTCTTATTCACCGCTTTATTTACCTCTCAGCTCTTTCCTTGCAAATTAGCACTTTCCAAACGTGCACGCAATCACGGATCTAAATTTACTAACTTATCCAAATCAACCGATACCTTCCATTATTGCAAATTTCTTTAGGAAACAAATAATAGATTTTAAGGAAACAAATAAAAGATTTTAAAGACGCATCATACTTTACTAACAATCACTAAAAATCAAATCTAAATTAATTAACCTTACCTTAAATCACTCAATCACTTTAATTAGAAAACATTTTCTTTCCTAACTGCACCCCGCTTAGTGTGCACATAACAATCCGAAGTAATTAGAGTCACATGATTAAATCCATTTATTTAGAGCGACATGATTGCGTTCCGGGATGGAGGCCATGATTTCGTCGAGGTCGTTGCTGCCTCCTACACTCAGGGTGTGTCGCCGAGATCGAGGCGAGCATGAGGAGCTGTGGCCACCGCCATGGTCACCCCATCGCAGGGGATGGAGCACGCCGTCGGCCTACAGCTTGTGGAGATCACTGTTGCTCTTCAGGTCGCGTGGTGACCGGATCTTGCCGATGTGTCCCTCCCCGACGACCTCCTCTTCGCCCGGTTGGCTGGCATGGATCTCGCCACTACTGCCCTCAACTTCTCTGCCTCGAGCTCGACGGTCAGCCACCATGGATCCCCCAGCTGGAGGGTCACGTGAACCAGCCGTCCTCCCATGCTGCAGCGGCGAGAATGTGACATGGCTCTCCGTACACGAAGAGTGGAGTTCGGTCAAGTACTTATATACTTGGCCTCTACTGCTGATCCATGTACATGGAGAAGAACAGGCAACCGCTCATTCATGCTTCGTTCCACTCCTTTGCGCTACATTACTGGAGGTGACATTTTTCTATCTCTCTATGTTGTAACAAGCCTGCTGCCTGCATAGTTAATGGATTTTTTATTTAAATTTATCGCTGCTTAGTGCTTTGTTGCAATTGTTCACCCAAGATTCTTATATATAATCTGAGCGTATGTAGGCATACTTAGCTTTGCTATTCCATTTTTTTTGGCGCATAGAAATAAGAGTATTGTCCAGGTTAGGTATTCAATTGAGTATGGTATTTGGATTGCTATCAGAATGTCTTTTCTATGCATGTGATTTCTCATATCTGATTATAATATTTGTGAAGTCGTGCATTGCACGTGCACTTGGAAGCGGGCCCGTGGCCCGCGCTGGACGGCGCCGACGCCGCCCCGAACCACCCCGTCCGCGTATTCTTGGAGTTGTGGTTGGTCGATTTACATGAAATTAATTCCCTCAATTCTGGTGGCAAATATAATACACATAATCCATATTGTTATGCACTAGCGTGTATGTGTGAAATAGATGGATTATGGTCCCGTACCCAATAAGATGGATATGTGTGTGTGTTAGAGCGAGAGGGAGACGGGGATAGAGAGTGAGGAAGAGGGAGGGAGAGTGTGGTTCTGTGTGTGTGTGAAGATTTGATGGTAAAAAAAGTCGCCAATGTCGTAATATTGAACTCTTAAAGTTAATGTGGCCCCGTTGCAACGCACGGGCGTTCTTCTAGTTTTTATAGGGTCAGAGTGAGGCTTGATGTGCAGAATCATCTAAAGAAAAGTAACATCCCTGATTCGTGGTGGAGAGAGGAAAATCTTCGCGGTGAAGTATGAACGTTTACCGTATTGGTACCAAGTCTGTGGGATGATGGGTCATGAATTCAAAGAGCATGGTGACGAGGTGCATCCTCCAACTGCGTTAATCTATAAAAACATGCAAGTTTCGGCGACCACTGCCTGGGGGATCCGGTGTCGCAACAATAGCCAGAAGGCCAAGAAACATAATATACGCAGGAAGGTGGGGCTGCTATTGAGAAAGGCTCTGATGATCATGAAGTTGTAGCCCGGGAGCAAGATGACACTGATATGGAGGTAGTCGACTCCAACCGCAAACGTACTTCTAATGAGGTGGTAGGGACGCCCAATCCTGTAGCCACCACGAGTATGGAGCTCGTCCTAGTTCCAAAGACGGGAGGTAGTGTTGTTCCACCTAGCCCCCACCAAAACAAGGCCCCAAGAGGTCTAGGACTACAATGTAGAATGAGAAAAAACACCAATGGTGGACTGAAGAAGACCCCAGCAGTGGCAAACCCAGTGATGCAAGACCGACGGCCCCCTCGGCGGAGGACCGCCGGGCACAATGAATTTGTTGTGCTGGAATTCTCGCGGGATTGGCAATGCCCCGACAATTCAAGAGCTTCGCAAACTCACACAAAAGTTTGCCCCTAGAGTACTTTGCATCGTCAAAACCCAAATTAGTGGTGATAGAGCTGAAAAATTAAAGAGTACTCTAGGTTTTGATAATTCTTTTGCTGTTGATTCCTCCGGTGGGAGCGGATGTCTGGCTATATATGTTTTGGCATAATGATATAAATATTGAGAATTTGGGTTACTCAAGGTATCATATAGATGTGAAAGTTAGTGATTTAGGTGGTGAACCATGGAGGCTCTCTTGTTTCTATGGGGAGGCACAGACCCACCTTCGCCACAATACATGGAACTATGAAAAATCTCTCGACTCTCCACACCATGCCATGGGTGTGTATGGGGGATTTCAATGAAGTTCTAAGGCATGATGAACATGTTGGTATCGGCAATAGGAGTCAAGCACAAATTCAAGGTTTTAGGGACGTCATGAATGTGTGTGGTTTTGTTGATCTTGGATATAAAGGGACAAGGTGGACATTTGAAAAGAGAGTTACTGGAGGCTCCTTCACTCGTGTTCGGCTAGACAGAGCTCTTGGCTTGGTCGAGTGGTGTGGCCAATTTCCATCGGCTATGGTGGAACATCTAACCGCAGCTACTTTGGACCACTCGCCTATCTTGCTACAGCTAGCTCAACCACCGAGTGGGAGGAG